TGAAGAGAGGTCAGTTATGCAGCAGCAAGAAGTAGTCTATGAAATTGGCCTTCTTTGCCCTTACTTTCAAGAGTGGCAACACAAACACATTTGCCCTCAGACAAGGTCAGACATGTCTAAAGGCACACTAGTTCATTTCAAGCATACTTAGTTTTGGTTCCTAGTCTGCTATGTCGTTTACTAGTGCCAATATGAATGACAATTTTCTCTCTCTTTCTATCATTTCTTGTCATCTCTTTACCATTGCTATCTAATAAAGACATAAAATGCCCCAAAAAAATGTAATGAGGTTCTATTTATTAACTGTAACCACTGATGCAAAACAAGATGGCTTCGCAAAGCTCAAGTCAATGCACATACCATGTGACTGCTAAAAACCACCAATCCAAAGTGTCTTTAATGTGATGACCATCAAATGTTTCATTGTTTCTTGAAATATATTATGTGAATGCTTGGAGCTTCTGTATGCTGAAGGAATGCAACAGCTTTCGTTATGGTATAAGAAACAGCCCTGCCAAGGTTCAAAGTTCAGTTCCCAATGGGGAAACCTACACTGAAAATATGTGCATTATGGAAAGGAAAGACACTCCGGATGAAAGTGACCACTAGATGATATATTGTGAGCTGGCTGTTTTATTGATGGCAGTGGAAAAATGCAGAATCTCCCATATGTGTTCAATTGGGTAGGGATAACTGCACCCAGGGATTGTTTTACAGTTTGGGAACTCATTGTAGGATAGTAGACTCCGTTAGACAATGCTGTGCTGATTCCTGGTGTTGGAATACCTGACTAACTCTCACACACGGAAATCTGTCAAATGCTGTCAGCAGCTGCCAATACGCAACGTGCCCCGCTGTATTCCTTTCATGAATTTCATGTCTTTGGCTCTGGCATCTACTGTTCTATACTGTACTTGGCAATCACTTTGACTCTTTGACAGTCTGTTGTGATGTGCTAAAACCTGAAGACTCCAAGAGAGGCTTTTTGATAGTTCTTTATGTTTTGCTTGACATATACAAAAATCCGGTGATTGGTTTGTGTGTTTTGCAGCATGGGTAGTTGGATTGATGGCGTTTTGCAGTGGCCTATAGTTACTGATTAACTTTATATGGACGGCGATCTTAGCGTTATTCAAATTTTACATATAAGTTAGACATTTGTTACAACAATAGCCAGAAATAGAGAACTGAGAAATAGAGAAACATCTTTCACGTTTCTTAGGACAGCTGATTTGTTTATTTCCGGTACTTCCCCATGTATACTGTACATTGATGCATGATCTATGAAGGTTTGAAGATGCAGCATGGTAACCTTGATCTGTGTTTGTGTGTGTGTGTGTGTGTGTGTGTTTCCTCTACATTTCACAAGGTGAAGTTTTAAGACATAATTGCAGGTCAAAGGTTGACTGATGTCTCTCTCTCTGTCATCCCTCTTTCCTTCTTTCTTTCCATTCTTTCCACATTTTTCCTCCTTCATCTGGAAGGTCACATTGCTCAGACAAACATGCAAGCACTGACGGCTAACTGATTTTAGTGTCCTATCCCTCTGACCCCCTTAATGTCCCTCTGTTATGCTTTCATCATAGTAACTGATCCTGTTTATTTTCTCTCCCTAACAGTTATAACAGCCTGACAGAGGTGGAAGGGTCAGAATTCAGGTCACTACGGCAACTGGAAATGCTCATGTTGCATGGCAACGACATTAACACAGTCCACCCTGGGGCATTTTACAGCCTGAGATCATTACAGGTAAAGTTTGTGTGTGTGTATCTTGGTATCTTGTAGTCTATAACGTTAGTTAATAATACTAATACTTACTCTAAATGTGTCTTCACTATTATACAGGCTTCTAGTTCCTTACTAGTTTATACAAAGATAAATAATAATACATTTGAGCCATTTAACCTAGACATTTATGCATCTTTCTCCTGACTGGAAACTCAGTTTATTGTTGCATTTTGTGCACTAGTAAACCATAGACATGAGCCCTAATGGACCTGAGAGCAAGTAGACCTGCACCCACGACTGAAATATCTGACTTAATTATGGCCCATCAAAAAGAATCAAGTCCCATACCTTCCTGGACTTTATACTAAGAACCTGTGTTTTTTCCTGTAATCTGTTAAGGTCCAATGGTTCCAGCAGATCAAAGTTAAGAGTGGTTAAATACTTAAGGTTGCTCATGTGGTGTTTTAAGTTTCTATCTCTTGTAAACCCTCTTGAGTGTTTGCATGTGTTACCTTCTCTATATCTGGCACCAAATCACCGTTGGAGCAATTAGCAAAAACAAACAGGATTAAGGCCATAGGTGGAAACTAAATTTCATTGAATTTTTGCTCTCTTTCAACTGTAACATTTATTTTCTATAAAGGGGGAGACATGCTCAACAAAGAGAAAATGATATGTGTAAATATATATAGTATATAAAAGTAGCTAAACACACCGGGGCTGGCTAACAACAAAGGAACACACAGTGTATGTACAAACAGAGCCAAATCAAATTTCCCCCCTGCCTAAACCACATTTAAGCCAGTAATTAGTTGCGCTTTGACTGCTTGACTACAAATGCATCGAGTCTTGTTGGGTCCAGATGGGTCCAATCAGAATCTAAATTTGTACTATATCAAACAGACTGAAGATCCATGCCAATACATCGGAATCAATTACATCAAGACCCAAATTGGGTTGGGTTGTACATAAGTTATAGGAAGAACAATTGTCCCCAAAGACCTCTAATATCAAAATAATGAGGATGGGATCTGTTCTGTTGCAACCTTAATTTGTTTTGGACTAATGAAGTTTAAGGTTAACTTTCTAAAGGAAAATCACACCTAGTGCAGTTTGATGACAATGACTCAGTAACAAAATATAAAATTTAAATAAAATCCATTACTCTGTGTAACATAAAAAGGGTTGTTCATGCAGCCAAACCCACTGAGCCTTCTCTGTTGCATTGCACATCTGTTCTACTATTAGCCACTTTGAGCTCATTGTTTCCTGTTAACAAGGAGTCAAATAAAATTTAAAGCATCTAGCAAGCTAAAGTTGGCAGTATCTTTTGTGAGGAGTGGGTGGACTTAACCAGAGCTAAAAGGCTGCCGAATATGGACTTACCAGCTTGCCAGAGACACATCTGCAACGTGTCTGGTAACTCTTTAGTCATAGCAACTTTATAAGCGAATTGTATATCAGGGCTGTGTCCTTCTGTCCCCTTTTTAAATAAAAGCTTATTAGTTTTAATGTTCAATAAATGTCACTAAAACACTGATTGTCTTTTTCCAGATCTTGAAGTTGAGTTACAACAAGCTAACATCGGTGAACGCTGGTCTGTTTGAAGGCCTTGTTGGTTTGATCCGTCTCCATCTGGACCACAACCTCATTGACTTTATAGAGCCATACTCCTTCTCAGGCCTGACCTCCTTGAAACTCTTGCAACTGGAAGGGAACCTCCTCAAAGAGATCCACCCTCATACCTTCATAACGGTATCACTACTGGGAAGCTTTTGGACCTCTGGACTCAAGTAAGAAATAAAAGACAAAATTTTTATCTTATTTTTGGATTTTTTCAAAAATTAAAACCACCTTTTTAAAATAAATTCGGTCATAAATTGTACTTTTAAAGTATTTATTTATATATTTGTTTAATCGTTGGTAAGTATATCTTGAATATAAGGCATAAATTGGAAACCTGTAAGACTTGTATCTGTCTTTGCATGCTTACAGGAATGTCAGTTAGAAGACACATAGATACCCCAAATTGCTTATAGATATAAAGTTGCTATGTCTGTACCTCATACTTTATAGGTAGTGCAGCATATATGTTTCCTTGACTTCTGCACAATACATTCAAAGATTAGAACCCTGCACACCAATAACTAAAGGAAATTATACAATGTTTTTTGTCTCAGACACTTACACCTGTCAGACAATCTGTTGGAGCATCTCCCTGCTGCAGCACTGAAGACAGCTTCCAGGCTTGAGCTCCTCTCTCTACATGGTAATCCCTGGACCTGTGACTGTCAACTCCACTGGTTGGTAGAATGGAGCTCCACACATGAAGGTAAGGACGTATGAATCAGTACTTCAGTGTTATTTTCTCACATTAAGCCTTTATGAAATGTGACACTATTCCTTCTTTATTTCTGTGGTACCAAAAAGGTTTTATCTAAAGGGTGGACAATGTAAAATTTAAAGCATGCATTCATTGATTTTTTTAGGAGAACAAGCTGAAACATTGACATATTATTGATATATTATTACACTGTCGATTTCTGCAGAGTTTGGTGATCATTCTTTGTGGTTTCATTATTATTAGCAACCCTTTCACATCATATGAAAACGTACCTTTAAATTATTGCTTAGTGCAGCTTCAACACTATTTCTCACAACAGAAATGGAGATGTAGAGCATGATACTGAGTAACATGACAGATGAGCTCCTGCCAAGGCAAAAACACTATGTGAAACAATATAATCTTTTAAATTAACACTATTTATTAATTAAATGAATCTGTCCAAGACAGATAACTTATACTATACTTATACTTAGTTGTAACCTATTTCTATATTGTGGATATATAGACACAAAAGTCAAAATTGCATCTCTGGGCTTCAGAGTGTTTGTGACAAGAAGCAGAACATAGTACTGCATGTCTGCCATCCAGCTTCTGCACCACATATGAAGGACATGGCTATTTTCAGAAAAGTGACTGTATTTGATCCATATGCATATGAAGAAAATTGATTAAATTGTTTACTTTTTCTTTATCCTTCTTTCTCATTCAATATTTCTCATGACACATGCTTTGTCTTGTGGTTGTCATTGTTTTGTTTTCTCGAATTATCTTTAACGCATTCCATATGTTAACTGTTTGTAGCAACAGAACAGTTGATAATCTATCATTATGTGTATGGCCTGCTTCATGTGAAAATAAGGGACTGTGACTGCCAGAACTTTATTAGCAGATGCATGAACCTTCACTGAACTCGTGTAGATAAAACTGTATCTGCATTTTCCCAAACCCCTATAATCCCAGATTTATGATTTGTTTTTCTCCTTTTCTCCTGACTTTTTCTCCCCTCTTTTTCCTATGTCCAATCTTAATTAATTCCTTACTTTTTCCTTTACTCTGTCTTTATGTACTTACTCTAACTGCCCTTTCCATCTTAACCTTTCACCTCCATGGTCTCTTCTTCTAATTCCTTGGATTTTTTCCATCGTTCCTTGTCCTCTTGCCTTTTTATCTCTCCCTCTCTTCCTCTCTTTTTCTCCAGGCATAATAAAGTGCAAGAAGGAACGTGGCACGAGTGAGACTTGCCCCCAGTGCTCCTCTCCTCAAACCCTGAATGGGACCCTTTTGCTTGGACTGACACCAGAGAAGCTTACCTGTGAACGGCCAGATCTCCGCTCCCCCCTGAAACAATGGGACAATCCTGTGTGGTCTGAATCGGAAGCAGAGCCTGACCTCCCATATACCCGTGACTTTGAAAAGCCTTTAGGCCATCTGACAATTGTTCTCTCCGACAGCCATGGAAACAGTGCTCATGTGGCATGTAAAGTGCGCCACCCTAGAGACAGTTCACCCATGATTTGGACGGTAAATCCACTCTTACCTGGGGAGTTATCTGTCAATGTCTCACTGGTGACTGTCCTTGAGTGTGAAATTGACCGAGAGACACTGCAAAATCTGTGGCAATTGGTTGCATATTACTATGAAAGCCCTGCTATCTTGGAGAGAGGCCAACAGAGAGGAAATGCAAGCAGGGTCACCTATCAATATTCCCAAGCTATAAATGAAAATTCCCCATATTTCACTGATTTAAAAGGGTATTTGGTAGCAGAACCCACATGGCTGCTTCAACCCAGAGTCACTTTGAGACTCAACAGACAGCAGACAACAACGAAGAAACTGGTGATGGATTTCACTACTGTAATTACCAAGCACATAAACAGCCATAGAGGGCAAGAAGATGACAATGACCTGGCCATTTCCTGGGCTCTAATTCGCAGAGGGACAACAGGACGGGTTCAGACTGCTCTCGACGGTTCAAAGGTTCACTTGGAGTGCAAAGTTGTCACTTCTGATCCGGAGGTGAAAATGGAGTGGATGCTTCCAGATTTGTCCATTGTGGAAGATGCAACTGATAAGATTGAAATTTCTGAAAGAGGAGAACTTGTGATTTTAAATGCCACACTGTCTGACTCAGGTCTTTACCACTGTATGGTCAGAACCAAAGCCGGTGTGGACTTGATGCCTTTAAGGCTCACCATAAAAGAGCGCTCACTCAGCCCCACTGCTTTCAATGGGCAGAAAATTGTAGTTGAAAAGGGACGCTCATTTTCTCTCCCATGTGAGGTGACCTCAGTCCAGCCAAGTCAAACTATGTGGTACCTACCCAAAAACCAAATTCTTCTACCCACACAACAGACAAGACGAGCAGAAGTTATGGAAAATGGGACGTTGGTGGTTAGGAGGTTGACACAAGAAGATGCAGGGGAATACAGCTGCTTGGCCTCTAATCTCTATGGAGTTGACATGCTATCACACATGGTGGAAGTCACAGGAGAAAATGCTTCTGATAAGTCCAAAGTACAGACTGAGAGAGATCAGCAGATCTTGCCAGTTGGCGTGGAGGAAGGAGAAGGTTCAGGAGGAGATTACCAGGAAATTATACGTCCTTTTGCTACGCAGATCCCGAAAAAGGTAGGAACACAGCAAAGAAATCCTAATGGGTTTTCAAAAAGGATAAGAATGAAAGATTCAAAGAGAAAACCCAATAAATCTGTTAAGGAATTAGATCCAAATCGTTGGGCAGAGATATTGGCTAAAGCTAAGGCAAAACCACTGCCCACAAAGCAGTCATTACCAGAGCCCATCACTGTAACTGTCCAAACAAGAACGTCCAAACCTACTACTACAACTGTGACTACAATTGGTATTACTCCAAACAATTTACCCCCTACTACTACCCCTCTTGATATTAGAATACAGCCAACAAACTTTCAAATCAATACAAAAGCTAAGACTGAAGCCTATTCTACAGAGAAGAAATCAAATAATAGAAAAGACTCATCGGATACATCGGAAAATCAGCCACAAGTTTTACAACCTCTGCCTCCCAAAAGTACAAAACCAACCTCGCACCATGTTGGTGAGATCGCAGAAAAAGCAGACATTGTCACAGACCCTCCTGCTGTTGTAACTCCTCAGTTGGTCGATCGGTCTGAAAATAAGCACTCTGGAGAGGGGAGAAGGAACTACAAACTTGTTCCTGGTCAGTCTAACAGGAGAAGGCCGCCTTATAGACGTAGAAAACCGTCACTCACAAGAGCTCGTCCGCACGTACACCCCTTCTACCATTCATCAAACAAGCTGCAAACAACTATTCCCCCAACAACCACCACAACTCCAACAACCACCACCACTCCAACAACAACCACCACTCCAACAACAACAACCACAACTACAACTACTACTACTACTACTACTACTACTACCACTACTACTGCAACAACACCTATTCCAACAACAGCAGAAAACTATGAAAACTTATCTGCTGAGTATCAGACTGAGGAAGATGAAGGCGAATACAATGAAGAATATAATTACAAGGATAGTGATAGTTTGGATGCCAGGGAAGATTTAAGCAGTGAAACATCCCATACCACCAATGATCTTGACAGTAACCTTACAACATTCCCACCAGCTAGAGAAAAAGATCCCCATGTAGGTAGCTTTCCAGGTAGACAGAATGTATCTAATCCAAAGATGATTGTCACTCCAAAGCTAGATAGTACCCCGAATCCAACTGAAAGGACTGTTAAAGAAAAGGAGGAAACTGTAAAACTGGAAAAATCTGAGAGTCAGAGGGTTGAGATCAGAAAGCAAACTGAAGAAAAGGGCAGAGACCATAAAAATGTTGCAGGAGAAAGGGACAGGGAGGTAATGACAACAATGGAAGAGCAAGAAAACATAGAGGAATCTAAAAAGAAGTGGGTTACACAGAGCAACAATGCACAGGATAGCATCCGATTAACAACACAAAATAGACCAAGAACTAACATCCGACCGACACTAGAACAAAATACACCAACCCAAGCAAAAATTTCATCTGCCAAGGTCCTTACATCAAATTCAACAAGAGGCAGAACAAGAGAAGAGGTCACACGGAAAGAGGATAAAGAGCCAAACAAGCCAAAGGCAATGCCTGAGATCTACAGTTTCCCAATAATGGAACCAGTTCATCCCTGGCTCCATCAGAACAAACAGGGAGGGGGGCAAACTACTACTTCAAGGACAACACATACAAACCAAGACAGAAATACAGGAAGACGAGGTGAAGTGAATCCAGGCAGGCATTCCCAGCCTCCAAGAGTTCCCCCAACCTCCCGCTGGCCTTCACACAATTATCATCATTATTATCCCCTCTACCCCTCCTGGCCAGGTCAAAGGTCATTTCCTCATCCAAGGCATGGTAAATGAAGCTGCTGTGTAATGATTACATTATTTTTAATTGGGTGTCATGACAAAATGTGACAATAGCAAAGATACAATGTTGGCTTAGTGTTATGATATGTCACTCTTATCCTAATTAGAATGTATGGATATGTATTTCATCAAATGTTTGCTTCTAGGTCCTGGGTCACACCCTTTGCCCACACACAGACCTTGGCCTCTTCCCCACCCGTGGGCTCAAAACCCACTTGTCACCAACCGCCCTGAGATCACAGCTGAAACAGTGAAGCCCACACCGACAGTTTCTGGAACAACAGGAAACTCCAGATTTACACTCTCTAATCCCCACATGTCACATCATCATCTAAATCATCATGTGGATGCCAGGACCCAAACCAGAGATCAACTGTTTCTATCAAGGCTGAGGAACAGATACAGACAGGTATGATGGGGGGAGTTACGGTCGGTATGCAGTATGTGATAAATCTAATTGTGTATGTGCTTTAATTTGCCTTTCAGTGTGTAACCTATGATTTTAACTTGCTATTTCACGGCAGCCATTTTGACCATATGTGTAATTAATAACGTTAATAATGGCTGAACTCTGTTTAGCTTTACCAGTGCCCTTCTATTTTGCATGCTGGCTGTTTGGCTGTCTGGCTGTTGTTAATGGTATTAATGACACCTGTGTTTTTCCTGCTATTACAAAATATATGCTTTGATAAAGGCACATTCGCACCCACAGTACCAGCATACTCTAGTGTGATCAATAGCCTTTTCACACGATGATGAACCTCATATTCAAGTCATTCCATTCCAGATATGGGATTTAATTCAGGCAAATTGGTTCATACCATAATAATTGATCATTCTGGTTTTGATTTTTGCAGGCACAGCTTGACCGCATTGCTCAGCTAGGAAAGATAGTGACGCCGAAACCTCACACGGGCTACCACAATCCTCCATCCCCCATCACACCTAAACCCGACTCATCAATGTATAGACCCTACACCCCTAAACCACCAGCACCCACTGCTTCTTATATGTACACTATGCAACCTCCGAAGTCCGCTAAACCTTCATCATCATCATCCTCTGGTTTCATCCCAACCCCTTATCCTTACCACCCCATTACCCCTGGAGTTCTGTATGAAGGTCGATGGCCTGTTGGGGGTAGGTACACTTTTGATAGAAGTAATGTATCTATAATGGAAAATTAGCAGCATATTTTAATATATTTAAATCAGTAATACATTTTTTTTTGCTGTTTATATGTATCTTTGTAGCAGGACGAATCAGCTCGCGGCGGCCCACAGCTGCACCTCCTTTCCCATGGGTGTTGGGAGCTAAAAATGGTGGGGCGAAACCCCATATTACTACGGTAACCACAGCTAGTGTGTCAGTACTGGCAGAGAGTGATGTGTTCCTATCCTGCAAAGCAACAGGGAATCCTGAACCCAACATCGCATGGACCAAAGTTTCCACAGGTAAGCGAGGGATAAAAAAAATTGAGAAAGACGGAAGGAATTAAGGACAACAAGCAAATAATACAACATAGGAAAATTAGACATTTCAAGGGAAAATGATTGCAGTTTATGTATCACTGAGCTCATTTATCTCATTGGCCCCAAGTCAGATCTGCCTGTAGCTGTGTCTGTTTTTATACCATCAGGGGGGATGTCAGAGAGGTTTTAAAATGTGGCATAGTCAGTTATGAAAAATAATAAAATTCAGAATTTTGCCTTCTCATTATCTCCTTATCCTTTCTAATCCCTTCTCAGGTGCCACCATACCAGCCAACACCAAGCATGGTTCCCGTTTTGAAGTCTTAAAAAATGGAACTTTTGTCATTAAAAACATCCAGCTTCAGGACAGAGGCCAGTATCTCTGCACGGCCCAGAACAGGTTTGGATCAGATCGCATGGTCATCACCTTAGCTGTCCAGACCGAGGCACCCAAGATCCAGCCGCCTAAGTCCACAGAGATAGCAGTCTACTTAGGGAAAAGTGTGACTCTTGACTGCTTTGCTTCAGGTAAACCACCTGCCCAAATTTCCTGGATTCTTCCAGACAGGACGTTTGTGCGTGAAGTTGGGACTGTTCACACTCTCCTCTCTCCGATGTCTCTGCTTCAAAATGGAACCCTGCAAATTCACTCTCCAAATTTTTCCAGCAAAGGGGACTATAAATGCATTGCAAGCAATGCAGCAGGTGCTGATACAATTACTTATCATCTCCATGTGGCAGCGCTCCCTCCCAGCATCAGTGAAGGAACAACGGAGACTGTGATCATTCAGCCAGGTATGGTACAGAAATTTAAAAGAACTTTACATAACAGAAACTGTTCATCATTATATGGCTGGTCGCAATGTCAGAATGAATAATTAATAAAATAACATTTAACCAGGCAGGAGTGTGTATGTCCACTGCTCTGTGAAGGGCGAACCAGTGCCCGCTCAGAAATGGACACTCCCAGCAGGCGTCCATGTCAAGCCATCCCAGTTTCTTGGACGCAGGCTGTTTGTCTTCCCCAATGGGACGTTGTATGTGAAGAATGTTTCGCCAGCTGATGCTGGAAGGTATGAAATACAATTTCTTTTTTTTCATATGATTCAGTGTTTAACCAGTGTCTATGCACTGGTTAAATGTTTGGTTGAATATGTGTAATTACTCTATCATAAGCCATGTTTTTGGTTTTAGTTGACCTACCTAGCAAAATCTGAATGTGTTCTTAATTGCTTAAGCAAGTTAAATAATCCTTCCACAGGTATGAGTGTATGGCCGCCAATGCTGTGGGCATGGCCAAAAGAACCGTCCTGCTGGAGGTGAGGGCAGATTCCTTCTCCATCTCCCGCCAGCCTCCTGCTCCTCTCCCTGTCCCTCCAACCCATCATCATGGTGTGCCATCCCGCCAGCACTCTGTCTCAGCTATGTACGGTTCAGCTGTCTACCTTCACTGTCCAGAGTCTACTGGATCCAAAAGAGGGACCATCTGGCAGCTACCCTCCAAGACCATTATGGAACATCAATATAGGTAACTTCCTTTGTAAATTCATGAATTAGTACATGACTGACCAATTTTTAATACAATAAAAGGTTTTAGTTTGAATTAAACTTCAGTGACTGCTTTAATCTCAACCTCATTTCTCTCCCCCATCTGCCTACAGTCCGGAGAGACCAATTAAAGTCTTCCGTAATGGGACTCTCAGGATCCTTCAGCTAACAGAGCTGGATGGCGGAAATTATCTGTGTGTCTTTCAGCGACCCAATGGGGAGGACATGGAGCTCTTCCAGGTATGAACGGGACAGATAACGACATCAGGCAGGTTCATTTTGCTGCCAACTCTTTTCCATTAGTCTACGTTTCCTTCCTGAAGAACACTCTTTGTTCATTCAAGAATCCCTGCCTTGTTGTAAAGATGTCTTTATACCTTCCTTCAACAATCAAAGAAGTGGTCTGTTCTCACAGTCTGTATTGGACTGGCAAAAGCTGCAATCGCAGGTCATTCAGCGATCAATACCTGACTAAAGTCTGTCTCTGTATTGTCCAAGCTTCCACTGCAACTTTCTTTCACATTAAAGTTCCAGTGTGTAACATTTAGGAGGATCAATTGGTAGAAATTGAATATAATATCAATAGGCATGTTTTCGTTAGTGTATAATAACCTAAATATAGAAAACGTTATGTTTTGTTGCCTTAGAATGAGCCATCTTTGATGCTTCAGGTCACCTTTCATAGAGTCTGCCATGTTGAACCGCCATGTTTCATATAGTAGCCCAGAAGGGACAAACCAAGCACTTGCTCTAGAGAGGGGCTTTCACACATTTTCCAACCACCATAGTTTCTCTTTCGTGCTTGCAAATGGAGGTTGAAGTGAGAGAGTCACGATCTGCAATTACACAGCTAGATGTTATTAAATCCTACACATTGGACCTTTAAAAGTATTTTCTGTATGTGCTCATATTTCTTCATGTCTTTGCTTTATCAGGTAGAGGTGTTAATGACCCCTCCCAGAATCGAACATGTGAGGGCTGCACAGGCCAGGGTCACGTTTGGAGAAAATTTCCAGGTAAATATGGGGAGCCAGCTTTTCAATATCAGCTGTATTGGCTAGTTAGTAAGTGGTCATAGATAATGGATGGAGGAATGGATCTTAAAGCATCACAAATAGATTGTTTTTGCTCACTTGAGGGCAGCAGAACAAGCTGTCAACACAACATTGACATATAGTTGCCTATTTACAAAATATTATCATTCAGTTGGAGTTTCAGCACTACTGACATCATCACTGAGACAAATGAAAAAATGGCATATGGCAAACATTAAAATCACCCTTAACCAATAAGGTCTTTATTCACTCCTTTGTATCCTTTTAAGGTGGACTGTGTTGCAACAGGCCTCCCTGATCCAGAAGTTTCCTGGAGTCTCCCGGATGGAACTCTGATCAACAATGCCCTTCAGTCGGACGACAGCGGCCTTCGCAACCGCCGCTATGTTATTTTTGGCAATGGAACTTTATTTCTCCAACAAATGGCCAAAAAAGACGAGGGTGACTACACTTGTTTTGCCAAAAACAAACTGGGCAAGGATGAAAAAAAAGTGAGCGTCAAAGTGGGACCAAATGCTCCAAAAATTAAATTAAAAACACAATCACTGCTGATGGCAAAGATAGGAGAATCAGCTAAATTGAGTTGTCAGGCAACAGGTGAACCTACACCAAAAATCATGTGGATCTCACCAAGAAATGATGTGATATCAATGTCATCAGAAAAATTTCAGATCATGGACGATGGGATGTTAGTGGTGAAAAAAGTAAGACTGGCTGACGAAGGGAAATATGCATGTGTGGCACGAAATTCTGCTGGTGATGATGTTAAAAACATGAAACTTGAAGTTGAACCCCAGGAACCCTTTATCAATGGTATGAAAGGGAAGAGCACCACAAAGGTTTTGGCTATTTCCTACCAAACAGCGCTCCTGGATTGCAGAGTGGAAGGAAAACCTGAACCAAGAGTCTGGTGGGTTTCTCCTTATGGTCACTCCCTACCAACACCCTACTTGGGCGGTCGCTTCCAAGTCCACCGGAACGGGAGCTTGGAGCTGAGAGGGGTGAGAAAAACAGATGAAGGGAGATACATGTGTCTGGCTAAAAATAGTCTGGGTGAAGCCTCACTTTTGGTTGAATTAGACGTGGCATCAGTAGCTGAGAAACCAAGTTTTGCTGTTCCCAATATTGAAATCTTACCAATAAAGCAAGACGGTGGACTATTAAGCCTGCAGTGCCCCGCTCGTGGTAAACCCAACCCAGAGTTTGCATGGCTTCTACCCAATGGGACAATGTTAATACCTGGTGCAAGACTCCAACGCTTTATACATCATCTGGGTAATGGAACTCTACAGATCTCTCAACCGGTTGCAAGTGATAAGGGAGTCTACCGGTGCCTAGCAAAAAATGTTGCAGGACAAGCCGAGAAACGTTATTCACTGGAGGCGGGCAGAAAGCCATTGATCAGAGGATCTACAGGTATGTTTTTTCATCTCAAATTCGTGACGCAGAAGTCTCCTTAGTTTGGTCAAAAAAGAGACAATGGCCCGGCTGTGGTAAGGCATAAATGTTTGTTTGAGTTGTAATAAACCCTTGAACTTCACATTCAAGAGCCAACCAAAGAAAAGCTAAATCCTACTGATTCAATAATTGATACATTACGTTGCAGTCAATGAAAGCCAGAGACAAGGACTTCCCTCAATACAAAATGTTTTATTGATTAAGATACAGACAAACAAGCAACAGGGTTAGGGTCAGTAAGGGATTAGGGTAAGGTTTAGGTGTAGGGTTAGGGCTAGTGTGTGGTAAGGTGTCTCACCACACACACGTGCCTGTGCCCTATTCACACATACTGCAAGAAATTATGAAGAAAAGAAGAAAAATGTGATCAGTTTACAGAATCGATTAAAACTTCACCCCAAGGCACCAGTTCAACTGGACTAAACAACTCAGGTTAGACAATGCCCTAAAGGTATATTAAGAATAAATGAGAAGTCTGTCCATTATTTATTGCATTGTATTTTTGTTGTAGCAATTATTTTTGCATAAAATATACTTACTGTTACAATTTCACTTTTCCAGGTGGGATGAAGATCACTTACGGCCTCAATCTCAACTTGCCCTGCACTGTGGATGGTTGGCCACAGCCATCAGTCACATGGACCCTACCTAATGGTCTTGTTTTGGACAAACCCCAAACCATTAGCCGGGTATCTTTTCTTGCCAATGGGACTCTCCAAGTCAGGCACGTCGCCACCTTTGACAAAGGAACCTACGTCTGTAAAGCCTCCAACTCTTTTGGCTCATCTACACTATCCTACCCAGTTGCAGTGATGGTTTTCCCACCACGCATCACCAGTACACTGACCTCAATAACAAGGGTCAGCCGGGGATCACCAGTGACATTAAACTGTGTTGCAACTGGTATTCCTAAGCCGGATATTTCATGGACGCTGCCTGGACGCACAACGCTGGTTCCACACAGCCGGTTCACAGTGCAGGGGGGGATTCATATGACAGAGGAGGGCAGTCTGGTCATACAGAACCCTGTACTCATGAACTCTGGCATTTACAAATGCAACGCTAAAAACGCACTCGGCACAGACTTTAAATCTACTTACTTACAAGTTGTCTGAGTAATTATAATTATTACATGGGAAAATCTCAACAGAATTAAGAATGGACAGAGGTTTTTCCATGAAGATCTGAATATACTGCATAATAGAAAAACTCTGGAGAGAGACTTAAAACTACCTGACTGTTGGCTTGAGATACCTTGCAAAGCAGTTTCCGCTGAACAATGAAGTTTCAAATATAGATTTCACAGTTAACATTCATCTTTTGTGATTTTTAACTGTAGTATTTTGTTTATTGGTGCAAATGTTGCAAGCATCTTTTAAGCCTACATTTTGGATCAAACATGTCTTTGCAGCCTTACCCCATTGATTCAATTTCACATTCCTCATACAGAATCGTAGTTTGTAACATTTGACCTTGCAGTGCAATTTTATTTTAACTTGACACAGCTTGTTCTGCAACTGAAATAACTTAAGACTCCTCTCTCGTCAGGGATATATCAACAGTAAATGTAAGTGTACCCCTTATATGACGATTGTCTATGTGTTGGTAGGATTATAATTTACAGTGATTTCAGCTGTACATGGCAAATATTCAGTTGCTCACATTACGAAATAGACAACAAACACCTTAGAGACTTTTCTCTGTGAACTTAATTTCGTCAGCAAGTAATGAGTAGTGGAATGGGTATATCATTGACTATTCATGTTTATAAAGTGCCATATTTTATGAACTTGGTGAGCAGTAACTCTTTTCTATGAGGATACAAATACACCCTATTGCTGCTCTACAGTGTGTATCAGCGAACGTATGTATCAATGTCATTTATTCATGTTTAATGGCGGGAACATAATGGCTCATAATAGCTACATTGTTGGCTTACAGTAGCTGTTAAAACAAAGGTGCACATAAAAAATATGTGAGTATATAATTTATAAGTAAAAAATAAAACATACATGTATGTATTGTTTGTTATCAGTCAGTTGCCTGATTTTATATTCACAAATTTTACATTTAAGCTGCTTTATCTCAGCTGTTAAGGCCTGGTCACGTCAGCATTTAATACAGAAAAATTTCCTTGTGAAGTCAGTTCATTCTGATGCAATCCTGCAATGAGTAAATTTTCTTATGGTCACAGGGCCACAAAATTGCACCATGGCAAGCTGGAGGGTCCAAAACGGTGGACACTATCATAGCTTAACTGTCTTGTCAGCTATAACACAGAGGGACTTGATTTCTTATTTCATCCATTCATATTCCTCTTAAAGCTGGAGTGGCAGCTGCTGTCTGGTCAGTTTATCAAGTGGCATGATGGCAGCAAAGAAGCCATGACCAATATTTGTTTAAGTCAGATAAGGAAATCCCAAATTAAAAAAGTTTGGAGGATGACAATGATGAATGATTTCAACCCTAACCCTACTGTATTGTAGCAGACATGCTTGTAGTACCACAATCACTAATGAAAGTGTGAAACCAGGACAGTCTTTTGGCGTGTGTGTGCAAGCATCCAAATGTGTGTGTATGTAAATGCATGCTATATTTCACTGCTGGTTTGTGTTCACCAGAATGTGAATGTCCCACTGAGACTTGCTTCCAGACAAACAGGCCTTTGAATGAGGAAGAAGGGTGCTTTGTCAGACACAAGCGTTAGGATTGTTCCATACAGCGAGAGTGTGTGCGTGTTTGTTATGTGTGTGTGTGTGTGTGTGTGTGAAAGCGATTATGTGTGTCTCTTTGAGAGAAAGAGTGTATGTCTGTGAGGAAGAGATTGTGTGTGAGGGATTGTTTGAGACAGAGAGTGGCGTGGCTGTGTGTATGTGTGTTTTGTGTGTGTGTGTGTGTGTGTAAGAGAGACATTGACTTAGAGAGGAAAAACAGTACAAGTGTTTGGTATTTCTGTCTGCATTTCAGTCTGATATCAACAGACAGGGAGTGTGTGTACGCGTGCATTCTGTATGTGTGTTTTGTGTTTTTTTCTGCTGCTGTTGGTCAAAATGGAAGCAAAGCAGCTCAAACACACGACAGCATCTCGCACAGCTACAGTTCATGCGGTGAGTGACACTGATTTCCTTTATTTCTTGCATTTTGTTTCATACCTCCACACATACCTCCATATAGCTTTTTTTCTTTTTAAAATCTGTTCACATGGAAATTTTAGACATTTCCAGTAATCAGAAATTAACATACTGGATGGAATCTGCACCACTGAAAGACTGGAAGCTAATTGTGAGCATTAAGAGAGAGATCACTGGGAGAAACATGGGTCTATACTATGGTTATAATATTATTTTTTCATGCGGTGTGGCTCTAAAGACTGCAATTTAATTCAGTTTGTCTACAACTTTGGTCCAGACTGAAATATTACTATGAAATGGTGCAGATATTAGTGATCCACAGAGGATGCATACTAATGACTTTGATTATCCTTTCACTTTAACTGTCATCAGGGAGTCATGAGCTTGACATTTTTGTTTCTTCTGTCTTTACAACAGCAGCCATTTTGACATGAAATAGTCGGGTAAACACAGATGTTACTAATGATAGTGATTGGTCCCATTCCATTCATGTCAAATGGAGTCAGGGTGCTGCTATTGTGCATGTTGTCTCACTGGAAAGGCTCTGATACACTAAATGGAACAGAACCATAGTAATTATCATTGGTAACACCTGTGTTTACCCTACTATTACCTGTGTTTACCCTACTATTTCATGTCTATACGGCTGCTGTGAAGATTGCCATTTGGTAGATGTACCCCTGAGAAAGAATTGTAACAACATTAATGATCTGCTGACCTTTCATCAAAAATTTCTGTCCAATGTTTATGTTTATGTATTTACCAAATTACCAAATAATTAGTAAATATTAGCATGCTAACATGCTAATCTAAAATGCTGAACATGCATTATACCTGCAAAAAAACATCAGCCTCAAAGAGCAGCTGGCACAGCTATAGACTCTGAGTCAAGATGGAGATTAAATGACTTTGTGCTGCTGTTACAACCAATCATAACTCATAATTCATAAATAAAATATGCCACCAATTTCATCTTAAAAACTTCCAAATCTGGATGCAAAATTCCTGTTTATAGCTGTCTTTGAGTGGCAGACATAATGAGTTCATTATGCATGCCAAGACTGGAAAAAAATCTCCCTGCTGAGGAGCCTTTGAGCAAGACACCCTGTTAGAACCAACTCAGCTGTTCAGTAACTTGAAATGGAAAAAAAAATCACTAATTACAATACAAACTAAGCTAGGTGTGCTTCTACAGAGAGGCTGAGCTCAAGTTGTCATTTTACATCTACTCAGCACAACCTAACCTAAAATGTTATGTGTTAGCTCTATGCTGTTTGTCCTCTAGTTCTGGATATCTTATACCCAGCAGCCCTCTCTGTAGCCAGGCAGGCGAACTGGTATTGATTCTGCATCATAACACCTGCTTGGTGTGAAAAATAAGAATGGAAAATAACAAATCATATTGGTAAACTGTGTGAGAAGCTCCTCGGCTGTTATATGTTAAAAAACAGCATTATGTATTTTGTATTGACTGAAAGAGTATACTGAGTATTGTCTTGGAAATTACTTCATTAAAAGGCAATTAAAAAAGGATTTTGGATTAATTTTGGGATTAATTCTTTGTACCTTTACGGACAAACTAATCAGCTCTGGAGCCTGGTGAGGATCTGTTGCATTAAGGCCATGTTGGTTTATGGAATGTGATAATATGACCAGCTGATCAGATCACATGACTAGATAGTGTGAGAAAATCTGTTTCACTTTCTCTCTCTGTTAAACCCCCCCACTGACAGTTAGACCCACAGTGTTTTTAGTATCAGTATTTCAGCTGCGTTATATTTACAACTTCTTTGGATGAAATGTTTATCGTTATCTGGAATCACACTCGTCTATTGGTAGGTGATTAGAAAGGTTTCAGGAGCATCAGTCCAGAACTACTGATGCATCAGTTTTGCACCACTTATATGGATAAAATAAACTCACAGTACAGCCTGCTAATGAAACAATAAACAATACCATCTCCTATGTTACCACTATAAAAATTAGAATGCTGTTACTTTATCTGTGACTCATAATAGCATCCTTATAATGACATGTAGGTATTTATGTCACTAGTAATGTCATAAAGTAATGGTGGAACATGTATTCAGATCCTTTACTTAAGTAAAAACACCAATATAACAATGT